TTCCTCTGCATGAAGAAGAGGAAAAATAGGAAGAAGCAGCCCCCAAGGCTTATCTGCTGTCTTCTTTCCCACACTTTTGATTATCACCTTGAACACCCTCACATTAGCTTTCACTAATGCATTTTCTTTCCTCAACTTACTGTGTGACATTTTCTCTAAAGAGTTTGAAATGCAAGTGTGGATTCAGAGGTAATAGATATTAGTATCTATTAATGTAAATAAGTTGGTGAAGGGGCCCACTTTGTCACTATTATGTGACATTCAGTACATGCTAGTTAACAGAGGTGTTAGGAGACAATTCACAGTAAGATGTCCTTGTGACTGTATCCATGACAACCTGGGTTTGGGTCACTTGGCAACCTCTGTTTGAAGTCGTCCCCTAGTTTTTGGACACTTTCTGCTGTCAAATGATCCAATGCATGTCAAAGGAATGATATTTAAAACTCAATTAAGCAATGACAGTTCTGACAAATCAAATCTGACAAGTGTATTATATAATTACAAATATTACCTTTGTTCCAGTTGTTGCTATGCAGAAAAATAACAATTTTCTCTATGCATAAGCAGATTTAATGAGATATATTTTTTGCTGCCAAATAGTATTTGCATGCCTCAACACATATAAATGATTATCTACCACAGCATTCAGGCCCAGACTGTATCCCAGGGTGGCCTTTTTTCACATGTCGGAGACTAGAGCAGTTCCCACTCTTGTTCTTTAGAGAGGAATAGTAAAAGGATCTCACAATGGATCTTTGTGCCGTACAAACAGTGAAGTCACAGTTTCCCAGGCTTCTCCCCCTGAGATACCTGATGAAAGAGGTAGGGGTGAGGAACAGAGGGACGGTGGGAGGGGATGAAGGCACTGTGAAAAGGTTACCACCGCTGACTTCTCTGTGGTAAACACAAACAAAAGCAGAATCCTCCCCGCTGTCACTCTGGCCCTCCAGCAGGCCTCTCTGTCACAGCTGATGTGTCACAAGTGAAGTGTCTGCTCTCTCAGGGCTCCACTGCTCAGACGTGTAGGTGATACATAAGGCCTGACAAACAACTTAGACTCACCACCGGAACTGCAACGATATAAAAGACTATGTGATGCAGCGAGGCACATAACACAGGAAGACACTCGCCCTCTCTTGGCCTTTCTCTCATATCTAGACTCGCTGAACACATACAGTACGCAGACATAGATACACACACATATACACTGCTGGAGGCCATTTGAAATTCCTCGGGGGCTTTGCTTGTGTGAAGAAGGCCATGCATGCTGTGTTCAATGGCCAGAAAATATCTTTGTACATCAAAAGGCCAGCAAGAATTCAAACCTGATTTTTGAAGTCATCACTGGTGGGAAAACAGGAGGGCAGTGCGCCTACATTTGTATGCATGGATATTCTTGGGGTGAGAGAAATACTGTAGACATCTCCCTCATCTCTGTAATTGTTCAATTAGACCCTCCAGGGTGCCCAGCTAATTGTTCCACCTCATTTGCACGATGTAATATCTTCATATTTCTTTCTTTGTCTTTTAACTCGGTGTTACTGGCTGCATACTAACATGAGGCTGCAACTCACAGTAATGTCCCTTACACTGATGTCCTTTAAGGAACTCTCAAGTCAGTTAAGCTACAGGTGTAGGTTTTGTTTCAGCCAATGAGGGAACACCTATGAAACGAGAGGTGTGGGATCCTCCCTTAGGTGATTTTGCATCAAACACTGAATTTCCTGAATTCTGGGGAACTTTAATGCATCAATTTTTGCAGTTTCTGCATCAATTTATGGTGTAAATGTCCTTAATTTCATATTCAAATTAAAATCCTCTGCTATTTTTATGATATTTTTTTTTGGGGGGGGGGCAAATGCACATGTTCCACATATCCAAATATATCCATCCCCCCTTAAATCTACACCTATGTTATTAGTGACATCCTGAAAATTGTTCACATCCTCACCTTATAAAAATAAAAGTCTTTAAATTGATATAGTACAGTTCAAATCTAAAGCAAAAGGCATCCTGTATAAAGTGTTCATAATGTTGTCATTAATGTTTAATGTTTAATACAACATTAACTAATGCTTTATTATAGATTAATTGTGAGCTCCCATTAAGAGCATTTAATGGGTTGCCAGGTTGTGAAAATTCCCTTGGCAGGTGCATCTTGTTGGTTATAAATGCAGTTACATATGTTAGTAATCTATTAGTATGTGCTAATTGGTTTATCTCTCTCCAATAAACCATCATGTCTGCTGTTATAAATGTTAGTAAGACAATTTAAAAGGGTCATGACCTTCTCGTGTGCTAATTAGCCATCTGCAGCTGCCATTAGTGATAATCTATAAACATTTTATAAAGTGAAAGTGGGATGATTTCTTGGTTAGATTTGTTTTTTGTTTTTTTTTTAAATAAAAAGTCTTTTTGTCCGTGTTTTTCTTTCTTTCAGCAGAGGCATATTGTAGATCTTATATATCTGTCAAAAATGTCCTCCCACCTGTCAGCGTGAAATATGCATCGAAGCCTGTGTGGTGCAGATGGGAATGAAATGCAAAGGGTTTCTACAGTGTGGCACTTTGCAGGTTTGAGTCACCTCATTGTGAGTCAACTGCCTGTTCCCTGCTGAACTGAGAACAGCTAAGGTGACAGACAACAAACCGAGACCCATGGACTGTTAAAAACACGGTGAAGCACCCAGATGACAGTAGGAAATACGCTCAGTCCCCATCATGAAGATGCTTTGAAAAGCTTTCCTTCATGATATGAATTCAAATATTCTTTTTTCCCTGTAAGAAACACACATCTCCCGTCACATAGGCAGGTGCATGAGTGTAATTCATTTAAGCACAATAACTGAACCCATTTGAACCAAGTTTGAGAAATTTTGTTCTCCTTTCCTACAATATTTTAGGAGTATGATGATAATGGATCATTATGTATGTGCCCTTGGTTCTGCTCAGACGTATTTATCATTCAGCGTTTTTGGAACAACGTGTACGATGAGAGGTTTTATCCCCTTTTATATGCGTACAGGGCTTCTGTCACTGGCATTCTTTCTTTTACATTCATCTTTAATTGTCAGCCTCAGCTCTGCCAAGACAGAAAAAGAGGTGGGGTAAACAATGGGTGTGATGAGGACATGACGATACACCTGTTTGCAACAAAGGAGGGTGCTGCAAAGGACATGTTCCCTTTTTAAAGGTAATGATTTATGTATATTGGCAGCCACCACAAGTATCATTGCCTGAGCCATTTAACCACAGGGCCTCTCACTTCACACAAAGTCTCTGCTCTGTGTGTGAGAGCGAGCAACGTGTCAGCCATAGATTATCCCTCACAACCTCTGCTGAGATGTGCCACATCTCCCGAACAGTAGGGGGAAAGTAATGTAAGGGTAAAAGTGTGTGGTTTCCATGGCAATGGTGTCTAAAGAGATGGAGCATTTTCATTGTTAGGTCTATTTTTACCTCTGGAAACAGGAATATGATTGTTATCAGGTAGGTCTGGAGGCAGTGATGTGATGTGATGATGATGATGATGATGATGATCTGTATTTGTGCCCAGTGTTTGAGAAAGGATGGTCATCGTTAAAGGAGCAGTGAGTAGGATTTAGTGGCATCAACAGGTGTGGATCGCAGTTTGCAACCAGCTGAAAATTCTCCCATGTGGCAACCATGAAAACTCCTGGTTAGAATTCCATCAGTGTTCATTGCTCAGGAAGTTACTGAGAGCTGAATTACCTGCAGAGGTCTCCTCCTCTCCAAAACAAACGGACCTGGTGATTTAAACTGGTAAAAACACTGAATAAAGCAGTTTCACATTACAAATCACTGTTTCTGCAACGCTGTTGCTCACATTTTTTCCTGATCCGGACGTTCAGGAGGGTTTTACCGGGAGCCGAATTATCCACGAAGGTCTCTTCCTCTCCGAAACAAATGGATGCTGTGATTTAAACTGGTAAAAACACTGAATAAAGCAGCTTCACGTTACAAATCAGTGTTTCTCCTATGCTGTTTGGCTCACCACAGACGGGCCAGTAACACAACACCTGCTAATATGCACTCACCTTCTTTCTCTGACAACTTAAGATCTAGACATTCAGGAGTTTTTACCGGGGGCTGAATTAGTCGCGGAGGCTTTTTTTCTCCAAAACAAATGGGTGTGGTGATTTAAACCAGAAAAAACTCTGAATAAAGCAGTTTCATGTGAAAACAATTAGTGTTTTTCTGACTTTGCTTGTACTGGAGGGGCTGTATTTATGGTGGTCAACACGAAAATGTGAATGGCCCTGTCTGGAAGAAGAAGAAGAAGAAGAAGAAGAAGAAGAAATACTTTATTAATCCCTGAAGAAGGGAAATTCCATTTTTTCACACTGTTATCATATACACACACCCAAAATAGATCAATACATGCATTAAATGGAGAGATGTCACAGTGAGGGGGCTGCCTATGTACAGGCACCCCAAGCAGTTGGGGGTTTGTGCCTTGCTCAAGTGCACCTTGGCAGTGCCCAGGAGGCAAACTGGTACCTCTCCAGCTACCAGTCCATGCTCCATAGTTGGTCTGGACAGGGACTTGAACCAGCGACCCTCCAGTTCCTAACTGAGGTCCCTATAGACTGAGCTACTGCCATCTATAGTCAGAGCTTAGATTGTCTGTTCTGGGCTACTGTAGAAACATGGCGGTGCAACATGGCGGACTCTGTATGTAGATATTAACAGCTCATTCTAAGGAAACAAAAACAACAATTCTTATTTTCAGGACATTATACACTAGATAAAACTCAAAATTTTTTTTTTTATATATATAAGTATATATAATTATAAATATTCAATGTCTGCCAATAAATCCCCCCCCCCAAACCCTACACACTGGACCTTGTGTGTGTGTGTGTGTGTGTGTATGTGCGTGTGTGTATGTGAGGGCGGGGGGAAGGACGGCTGGTTGACAATATGAGGAGGCTCACGTGACTATCTTTTAAATTCCTGTTCCCCTGCAGCGCAATTTGTCAGAGTACGGATGGTGTCTGCCTGCCTCGCTACTCGCGCGCACGTCTGCTCATTTTTCGGGGGGCACAGAAGCTCCAACCGAGGAACTGACTGCTTGAAAACCTCCAAGCGTCGCTCAGCTCTCTTCATCATGTTGTTCTCACAGTTTTGAGCTCGTTTGTGTCTTTTGTTTTTCCTGCTGAAGCCTCTCTGAGTTGACTGGTACCGGGAGAAAGAGGAGAGGGAGGAGGAGGACTCGGTTCTTGTACCAGAGAGAGAGAAAAGGAACAGGAAAACAGAAGAATGAAACATTGGACTGTTGCTCGTGTGTTTTTTCTGCACTGATACGGTGATTGAAGCTGCAGGGATATAACACATTCAGCTTTTGTTCCCGTCAATGCACGACCGCTAGAAGAGAAAGGAGGAACGCGCTGCAACGTTACAAGTCCGGGATCATCACCTCCAAGACCCAAGGCAGTCCTCGACTTACAGGGCATCACCCTAAAACCCAGAGGAACCATGTCTTCTACGAAATACAAGAAGGATAAGGAGATCATAGCGGACTATGAGACCCAAGTGAAAGGTGCGGTGTGAACCTGATGTGTGTGTCCGCTCTGTGTGCATTGTCTCTGCAGAGGCTGACCATCAGCCTGATCATCATCCTCTCTGTTTGTGCTTTGCTTTTTATATGTGCAGTATAGTGCAATCCACATCTATAGCTGTTGTGTAGTGTCTAAACAGAGAGCATTGGGAGGCAGCCTCTCAGATGACAGGCAAACCGTGACAGTCAATCCAATGACAAGAGCGTCAGAGTGCGAGGTGTGAACCCTTGTATTATTTTCCCTCTGTCTCATGTGACAGCCAGAGGGATTTCTGTGTGCTGAGCCCTGATTTGTCATAATGTGGTTAGGATCGTTGCTGTGTTGCTTTATAGCAGGGTAAAATGATCCCTGTGTTGAAATCAGTGTTGGATGGAGGGCTGGCTGTATTACTGCACCTCATTCTTGCACAATTTGGGGCCTGTGTTTGGCTCACCGTGGCTGTTGTGGTTGGAGATGCTGATCAGATGTTTGGGGACAGATGTAATGGATTTAATACATATTCAGTGTCTTTTGATGGCTTGTGATGTCAGCTTTAATCCACAGAGCTTGATCACACTCCGCTCACGTTCTGCCTTTGATTCATTGTCAGTGATTGGCTTCTTTCTCTTGACTGCTCTCACCTGGCAACATGGATCAAACACTCTGTGGTTTAATGTCACCATTGACTCCTTTTCCACACTTCATGGCCCCTTTATAATTACGCTTACTGAGTATCAGAATCCTAATGATCTCAAATCGAAGGTAGATCATAGACTTGTGGTTAGAAATATGAATGGGGTCCAACAGAGTCTTATTAGTGAATGAACCTGTGCCTGCTGTAGAGCAGTGGTACTCAACTTACAGCTAGTGGGCCAAATCTGGCCCACAATAGGATGCTGGGTGGTCTGCAGACCATTTTCTAAGTCACAATGAAAACAAACTGACTCACACTGGGAACATTTTTTGTATTTTAAATGTGAAGAAGGTGCCAGAGTGCATAAAAACACCAAAAACACAGCTTATTTATCAAACGCAAACAAAAAAGTGCCATGGGAGGATTTGCCGGACCCCTAACAGAGGTCTGAGCCAAGCCCGAATGTCCTCAAATCCTAGAAACACCCCTGTGTACAGCTGCTGCAACTGGATTTGTGTCTTGGCAAAGATGGGTGAGGACAGCCAGCAACAAAAGGTTGAAAACAGGCAATACATTTATTAATATACCGATTAATATCATTCATTTTTGTTTATTAACTAGCTCCTGGCCTTCTATGGTTAAGCGTTGTGAAAAAAACAAGACAGTCGATAACATACTCCAGGCCAATGCAGGCAGCAACCCAGGAAATAATCCACCCAAATAAACAATCACAAGACACATCAAGTGACAGTTAATTCTTTAGTGTTGTGTAAAAATGAAGGGGGAATTCTGCACATACAAGCAGAGTAGACTGGTTATGAACAGATATTTCTCTAAGTGGAACTGGGGCTCAGTTTCAAGGCCCTGGACCCATTACTAGCGCTCACTCTCAGTGGTTTCACTAATGTTACGCCTCAGGGCTTCAGCTGATCATCCCCAGAGTCATGTACCAGCAGGGTCGTTCCGATACCAATACCAGGATCGAAATACCTCAGGTACTGCCTAAACTGCTGGATTGGGTGTCGCGTATGCGAGTCTTTGCGCTGATCCGGTACCATGTAATTCATTAATAAACTTAAAAGTAGTTTCATACTCAGATAAAACTGCAGTTTTCTCAGAAATCAATTCTTCGCCGCTCTAAAACAGCCTACACAGCAAGTTACGCTGCGCAGCCACTGGCAACTCCTATTTTAAAGTGGCAAATTGATTTCCCATAACTAGTGTAACTTTAGCCGTAAGCAAATGCAAGCAATTTGATAATATTTTACACTAGAAGGTCCCACCAGTAAGAAATATGTAGTATGCAAGGCTTTAGTTTCGAGGGGTGGCACCAGTGCAAGGTTGGAAATAAGCACCAACCACCAGCTAAATGCTGTTAAAATATGCAAGTGGCTGCTAGATTTGCTTTACTCATCAGCTGAAAAACAAAGGTAATCTATTGAGTGGCTGGTAGAATTTGGGAATCTACTAGCCACAGTGGCAGGTGGACAAAAATGAATTTCCATTTCTATTTCAACACCAGCAATCCTATAAAGCCATGCCATATAAAAATGACAGCATTCATTCACATCCATACAAGATTAGTGGTACACAGCTGTTAAATTTTGTTTTGAACGCAATGGTATTGGGTGCTGTCAGCTGCTATGCGAGATCAAGTATCAGAATCAATACTGGGAAGGACAAAATGGTATTGGAACATCACTAGGTACCAGTCCAGACCTTTGGATGCTCAGGGTGTGAGTGGTTGACTCGTAGGATTGATCTACAGACACGTTCTTCTTTGTGTGGACATTCTTACTGCTGCTGGTCTGTGCCTTACCCACTATTGCCTTATTATTACGAACCATTGCCTCTGTAACCTCAGTTTTGTCTTGTGGCATGGGCTGGTCATTCAGAAAATTGCACATCTTTCTTCCACCATTCAATGTCTGTTTTATTCAGCAGCTTTCCACTCCAGGCAATTTTTTGGTAATTCAGGCATCAATTATTCATCTTAGGTCCAACTGTGTCATGGCAGAGTCACTCTTGTTTTATAGAGCCAGGCCCTGTGTGCTGCCTCTTTGCATTAGACGGAGCCCTTGAACTGTCTGAGGACGATGCTAATGTTAATTTATGGAGAATGCTGCTTGTTTCTCATTCACAGCTGGTGTGTTGCATTGCCTAAAGACATGGAGGGCTGTGCTCTCGACATCCACCACCTCACAACAATGGCAATGTTATGAATCGAAGCAGGCAGTGAGCGAAGCCGTAATGAAATTCAGATTGGAAATTGCACCTGTCTTCCTCTGAGTTATTGCTTTATGGTTAATGTGTACATGGCAGAAGGGGCCAAATCATCAGTGTGTCATTGATTGGGTCATAAGATCGCGGGGTTGCTTGCTTTATTATGTATGAAGGCTAATTAAAAAAAAATCTCTTGGTTTCAGGCTTTAACAGCAAAGAAACGCTATCAAAACATTTGCTATAGCGAGATATTGTGTTTCTTTAAATGTAGTGACAGCAGGTGTGGAAGCACATCACAATATAGAATTAATTTCCTCTGTTACAGTGTAACAAACCATTCGTGCTAAAATCTTAACCCACAGCCATTAATGAATCCTCGGCGACCCTCGAGGCTGGCTGCCAAAGCCGAAGTCTCTGAAGGACCTTGGGAGATGGTGTTCACTTTATTCAAGCTGTTCAGCTGGCAGATCGTGCATTAGCATGTCAATAGAGAGGCTTCGTACGCTGAACACAGAGAGGCAGACTGAGGGGCCTGAACTCTGTTTTGTAGCTTACCACCGTGCGGTTGCTGGACTGCAGCTCAGCCTCCTCCTGTTTGCCAGTTTAATAGGCAGCTTGTGAAGTGCTGCTCTGGGGCTCAACCATCAGCTGCTATTTGACATTTACACACCAGGTTCTGAGACTGAAATATGGCTTCAGTATAAACTCATACTTCCACATCAGTAGGACAAGGATGAACTGAACCTTCAGTCTTTATTATAGAGAAAACTGGATGCGCTAACAGGGTTCCTGCAGCTCAAGGCAAGTTAGATTCCAGAATTTTTAAGACCTTTTTGATGCCACTTGGAATGAAACTTAAGACTAATTTTAAAATTATTAAAATTGAAGACAAAAAAAGAGCCATTTATGTTATTTTAGGGAAAATGTAGCATAAAATGTTGTAATATAAAACATGACTGTGTCTAAAAAATTACCTGCTGTGTTTTGGCTAGTTTTCTTGGCAATTTGGTGTTTCTTACTCTGCATGTGATATTCCACTGCCTTGATTCCTATTGTGCTGTGATTGAAAAACCTTTTGCATGAAGCACAACGAGCCTCGTATGCGTTATCTGGGTTAAACTGCCAGTTTTTGTTGTATTTGCACTTCCCCATGTTGTCCAGTGTACAGTGACAGCCAGCTAGGAGACAGTGGATCCCCTGCTCTAAGCATCTTGGCCAGAAACATAAAAGCCCTTTTTACACAGAGATCGCACTGTAAGGCCGCCACAAAGTCCCGTCTTTATGCCACCTTTGCATTTTTACTCAGAACCATGATTTTAGACTGCAGACCACCATCACAGAACCAAAAGAGGCGTGACAGGTACAACATGTAACATGACAGTGTTGACCGCTAGTGTGACATATAACATATGCATGGGCATCACTTTCTAAACAATGACAATGACACTATATGACACTAACAATCTATTACCGTCCCTGTTATATGACAGAGCTCCTGGACCTCATTGTTTTCCCATTTTGCTGACTTTTTCACTGTTTTTCTTCCTTCAGTTAGCTGCTAACTGCTACCATCAGCTTTTTAAATCTCCCCTGGTGGGTTGCACTCATAACACATCGTCAAAATGTCACACCCATGCCACCAGTGATCCCGTTCTTCAGACACTGTTTCATCGCTGTTACTACCTCCGTTGCCGGCTCAAAGGCGAGACAACTCTGTCCCCCTACTCCGCAACTGTACCTTTTAATGGCGGGCCGTCATAATGGTCGGAAATTCTTGCCTTGAAAAGGCAGTGTAAAAGGGACTAATATGAGCGTTGTTGGTTCTGATTTCCTGATCTGCATGACGTTAATATTAGGGGCATTCTGTAAGTTATTAAGAAAAATAGCTGTACTACTTATTTTGAGACTTATTTTGCAACAATCTGTAAAATCCTACTTCCCATTTCTTTGGATTTTAAGACTTTTGAAAGACAGAATTATTTAGATTGACACATTGATTCCAATGAAGGCCCTATTTTTACATGAATCAATTCAGTGCCTTTAAAACTTTGTAAGGATCTGCAGGAATCATGCTTTAAAGTCCAGTGATCACAAATTAACCAGCTGGCTTAACTCTGGAGAGGATGATAGCATTAAAGGGAGGTG